GATTGATAATAAAGCTGTCGAGAAAATATCCCGCAACTGTACTAATTTGAAATATCTTAGTTTGGAGGGGTGTAAAGGGATTAGTGAAGAAGTGATGAAAAAACTTAATCCTAAAATTAAATCGAATACCCTAATTATTCAGATAAAAAATAGTCCAATTCTGATCCACTTATTCCAATGTTCACCAGTACATTATTAGATGAAACAGATTTTATTTCTGCGCTCAGTAATTGTATCAGAGAGATTGGCGGGATTAATCTTAATCATTCATGGTTTACAAATAATTTTATGCAGTAGCAGAGAATAGGTAATTATTTACTGAGTTATTTTTTTCCTGATAATATACATCATTAAATATACTTAACATGTTTGTTGATACTATTGTCGAAGGAAAAATCCCAGTGAAAGCATTAATTGATACGTCGTCGAAGTTTAATATCATTAGCAAGAGGCTGTTCAATAAACTTAAATCGAACCATGGAATACGTCCTAGCTGTGGTCCTGCAGAATGTCTCTATGGAGACGTAATAGGTGAGATAAATTGCTTAGATTTACAGTTTCGCTATAAAGGAAAATGGCAAAGTTTAGATTATACTGATGCAATATACTTCAAAATTCGCAAGAATTCAACATTCGATCTGGTATTGGGTCGAGGGTGGTTGTGGGTACATGAAGTTAAAATGAACTTTAAATTATCTTCTAAAGGAAGCCATGATCCTCATGCTAAAATTGAAATAGACGGTATGAGTATCCCATTAATCGATAAAGATTTTAACAAAGCCATCTCTACTAAAAATAACTTATCTATTGCAAAGCAATGGGACTTTGTCTCTAAATCAACGGAATCTAAACCTGGTCTAGCTCAAGAAGAGGTTATAAATATAATTAACAAAGTTCTCTCAAATATCGAAGATAGACTTGAAGGGTCATTGTTTTGTAATAATAAGCAACGAAAGAAACGTCATGGAATATTTCATAACAAATCTGAGACAGAGACTAATTCATCCAGCTCTGATGATGCAGAGCATCGAATCTCTGATTCTTCAGAATCCACAGGTTCAGACTGGTATGATCTCGATCAGATAAATCCCCGAAAGAATCATGTTCATGTTAAAAAGAAAAAGGTTATTTCTTCTATCCGAAAACATCGTAGCATACCAACCATGTCAATGATCCATCCAATCAGAATAATTAAAAAACCGGAAAATTATTAACCTGCATATATAGTGAGTTCTCTTTATTTTTTTAAAAAATTACCAGACAACATACAGATAAAAAAATATATGTTTCAAAAAAGATGAATCAATTATACGCTTGATCCAACATATCATCCCGTTGACCAGGATTTAACCAATCATTATCGTCATTCTTCTTATCACGTTCTAAATTATCTTTTGACATTTTTCCCCAGGTCTGCTTATCTAATTTTTATTAAAGATATAATTTTGTTAGCCACTGTCTATCTTCGACAATTATATTTCAATATGGTGAAAATAAATAGAATGCTTCATAGAGTATTTATAACACAAAACTTACAAGATAAAGATTGTCTCGGCTTGCTTTGTTGTCTGGTTCTTGGTGCGGAAAATGATAGATTACTGGAATAATTGCTCTCAAAGGCGTTATTATCATTGGTCTTGGAAGCAGAAGAATCGTTGGTCTTGACGGTGATTTTCTTATTACTGCTCATTTTCACGTTCCTAATACAGAATAACGGTAATCATAAATCTGTTTTATGATATTAATTAAACAGCAATACATTAAATAGTGGTACATTACTTCGAATTAGTAATAAAAAATGTTATTGGTCCCACCTCACAGGAGAGAAAAATGAAGTATTTTATACCGTTCAGAAGCATTAAATCTATTTCAAAACCCAAATAATTTCGTCACTTTCTTTGGTTAGAATAAACCCCTTAATTTCAACGATCTCACTTGTAAAGCAAAAAAGTCAATGATCACAACGATCTGGGAAATGCCAAGTCATTGCTACATATTAATTTTGATAAAACTACTAATAAAAAACGATAAGCCCATTCCTCTTATAGTATTTTTGAATCTAATTCGTGATTTCTTGCCGTAGGCAGTCATACAATGGTTATAAGCATGTAAGTACGTATATACTGTACGTAAATCACAATGGATCGATATTTGCGAATCAGAGATCAGGATAGAAGTTTGCGGAACATGTATAATTGCGTAACTGTACTACATAGATAATCATTATTTTTTCGCTTTATTTTACATAGGAAAACCATCTTTCTTCCGCACATGCTTTTGCGATAAGACATGCTAAAACGAAGCTTCAAAAGGTTATAGAAGGAAAGCTCGACAATATCTATTAATTTTCATAACAAAAACCTCAAGCTATGGGGGTCGAAATTTCCACGATTCCAGATCGTCGTTGCGTTAACCAATTTTCGTCTTGCAGGAGTGATCTCAACCTTAAAAGGAATGAAACCCCCCCAAAATTGCATAATATATTCATAAGTCTCTTCTTTGTCGAGTTCTTGGCATTTATGGACTAGCTACACAAGGTAATGAATCCGTTAATTTTCGGAATCATATTAGCAGATGACTGAACGATGTAATATTATTTTTCCTCTAGCAGGTTCGAGGTTGAACATAATGAGTGTTATAAATAAGCAGGAATCGTTCAAAGTCGGTCCCCTATCTTCCCACGAATTTTAAAAGGTACATCTGTTTAGAAATCTATGAAGCGATATCATACTCACTGAATCTTTTTATTTAGGAACGTAAAATGAGTGAAACTACCGGTGCCAGCATTAATCTCAACTGCCTTTTTATGCCTATTAATGCATTTCATGGTTTACCATATCGAATTCACATAATTTCTATTTCTAATGTATCAACAGTCAACGCGCTTATGAATCAGATTCAATCTCTTATGCCAGGTGGGTTAATTCATGTTAACTATCAGCTTCGTGCATTTCGTCCGGGACCTGTGGTATATGTAAATATGGTATCAGGGGGTAGAATCAGTGATTATTTCGATGAGAATCTCGATCATAATATTATCCATATCCTCGTAGAACCTGTACCAGAAGAGAATTAGATTTTTGTCCGTATTCGTATCATGTAATTGCGATATATATTCGCAAATTTTATGTGCCTTGACACTAGCTCCACTATTATTTGTATCAATTATCGCCTTCGAGGCAATTTTTTCGTAGAGGAAAACCTCATTGCTCTGCAATAAAATAAAACGTTTAGCCTGTGTGTGATGGAAAAGTTCAAGAATGTCTAGAAAAAATTGCACATGGTGCGACATATCACATGATATAAAACCGCTTTCTCTATAGAGAAAGACGATCACCCGGAAAAATTTCTACCGAAAAGTAATGTGATACATGGCATGCCTGCTCCATTTATTGTTTTTTTTCACTTTTTTCTTGTGTACCATCCGCAGTCTACCAATAAAAATCCATCAAAAAATCATATATAATTCGAAATGTCTATTACTTTGGTCTGTTAGTAAGCCACCTTAAAAAAGTTATCAAGGCGGAGCAACCGCAAACTTTCGCTAACGTTGACGCCAAAGACATCAAATTATGGAAAGTGAAAATTGCTGACGATCGTGATTCCGAGTTGGCCAACTCCACATTAGATGTCGAACTTCTGGCAACGAAAAAGGTTTCGAAATACTTCCCCTCTCCACCCGCCGAAGAATGTATCCATGTCATAGTCGAGCCACCCGTATCAATCACCACTTCGAGTCGTGAACAGGAATTACTTGACCGAATCGTGTCGTTGGAGGCATCGATTAACAAGTCTGTCCATGGTACGTGTTTCAAATAATATGTATAGGCACTATATGCCAGCGAAGCAAAAATTTTTCTTGGCAAAAAACCGTGAACACTGTTCACGATCAGAATATTTTCTTGGCAAAATTTTTTTACTAACCAAACCTTTGTATCGTAGAGTTCGACGTTATCGTGAGTCCAAAACGGACAAAAGGATTCAAGTGGACAGTGAATATCGAGCAAGCAACTCTCGAAGCTCTCAAAGATTCTATATGTGCTGTGTATCAAACACCAGTTCTTGAAAATGATGGAGCGGTATTCAAT